CCCAGTCAGCGACAGCTGGAGAGATGGGTCAGGGCTGGGATTTCCGAGCAGACCCACCAATCAAGGCGCCCCCGCACCCATGTGGCGATCCACACCCAGCTCCTTAGCTGGGATGAGGGGGGCCCGAGGCCCACAACCCACAAGGCGAAATTCTTTGCACAAGGATAAACACCGCAGCTACGGAGCCGCCTCACGTGACTCTCTCCAGGGCTGACCCCGAGGAGGGTTGTGGGACCTAGAGGCAGAGACCAGTGGAGCGGGTTGGAAAAGGGGCCACTGGGGCGGAGCAGGTAAAGGTGGGATCTTGCCTGAGGGCTCCTGTCCGGGGCTGTTCATTCTAGTTTAGCATCACTAGGGGTGACCGGTCTCGTCTGAAGCTAGGGCGGCCCGGCCTTTCTCACACTGGTTCCCACCCCGAATCGAACTCCCCCGCTTGCCCGCCATGGAGTGGCTAGTTTTCGGCAATAACTCGGACCCTGCATTGCGCTCCATGGCCGAGGCGACCCGGACAGAGTTTGTGGCTGAGACAGGAATTCTCAAAGAAGCCCAGTGAAGCGGGGGCCCGAATCCGCTCCGCAGCCTCGCTGCTCCCGGGTACGTTGGCTCGGTCCCAGCCCCTGCCTGTGGGGCGAATGCGGCCTGAGAGCGGGAGACCGGTGACCGCAAACCACTGACCCCGTAGGCCCGGAGAGCCGCATCCTCTTCGTCCTCAGTGATACTTGGTCCCGCTCTGGATGCAGAGTCCTGGATTTGATGAACCCTCCAGGTCCCTTCTAGTTCTAGAATTCCATGAGTCTATATTTTAGTTGAAGCGATAGGAATGGGAATAAGCGGAGACTCTGTCCATGGTGCTGAATTGGGAACGGGCTATTTGCATCTGTATGAGCCAGAATGTGAAAGGGGTTTAGGCACTTCAGTAAGCAAATAGGCACCTACTGAACTCTTGAAAATCACCTATGCACCTAATTCCTATGGGTTCCAATAGGAGTTGGGCACCAAGTGAAAAACCCCGACTATCTCGCTTCCTCTTTAGACATCAGAATACCTTTAAGAATCTGACCCTGAATTCTTAAGAGCAACATTATCATGCAACCTATTAGTCTACACTGCCAATTGAGTGACAAAGTATTTGTTATTCACCGGGGCTTAACTACCACCCCCTTCAACAGTAATTGTGAATGCAACGCTTGGTGGTCTCATTAAACCTATACACGTAGAATCTTATTCAGAAAGCTGTCCTCAGCCCGAGTGCCTTATTATGGCACTATGTTACACAGGCTATGAAACTGGATTTGTTTTGTCATGAAATTTTAGGCCTACTAAATTAAATTACAAGGATTCGTCCCCATCCCTTAATCTATATATAATGCCAGCCCCTAGGCTGATCTTCCCAACTCACTGCAGAGTAATACAGCTACAGCTGGGTGAACTTTTGGGCTGAATTGATATCGGAGAAGAATGCAGCTGGTGTAAATCTAATATGGTGCGAACGAGGAGTAGGTTGTCAGTGAATGCGCCTGGTGCTCTCCGCCTCAGTGGTACAGACGGACTTACAGGGAGACAGGAACCTAAGGAGCTCCTGGTAAGTACCTCGTGTGGTCCAGCGTTGCCTCCGATCCTGTTCCCTATTGTTCTTCTCCAAATATATAACCTCTTCTGCCAGCCTCAGCACAGCCCGCCCTGGGGACCTGGCCGGGGCTGCGGGAACCTGCGATGTGCAACGGAGGCGCAAAGGGCCTCATTAGAGGTCCAAGTTCTTCCAGAAAGTGTCCGAGACTCACGGAGTGTCAGGCTCTCCTGCAACATGGTGGCTGGCCAGGGGAGGGGAATTCGGGCGCTGCTTTTCAAAGCCAGGGGAAAGTTCTGCCGCTTGGCAGCGTTTGGTGGTTTCCTTTGTCTTCCGCAGTAGCCTATTTCGGGTAGTTGCTGGGACCCGCCTTCTGTGGGGAGAACTAGGTTAGCGAGGCAGACGGGCCGATGATGCTGGGAATGGAAGGCTAGCGAGAGAGAGAGAGCCTTTCCCAGGTTCGAAGGAGGGTTCAGAGTGAGCTCAAAAGTAAGTTTCTTTCGCTCACAGAAGGTGACCCAATCAATATAAGACATTAACTCACCCGCCTTGTGTGTGGGGGACTGACATAGCCACAGCAGCACTAAAAACAGAGGGAGGGAGGGAGAGATAGGCAGGGAGGCGGGGCTGTGGGGATAGATAGATAGGATATGTATGCAGATGGATAGTAAGACAGACAGACAGACCTGGATCCCCTCGCCCTTGGCCCCCCGGGAATCCTAAATCTACCGCAAATCACCGCATTGATGCACCTTTCGACTCAGACAGCAGCTCAGCCCGACAGGGGGCAGCCCCTGGACTGCGAGACGTGTCCCACCTCAGCCACCTGCAGCTCACGGGAGGGTAGGATATGTATGCAGATGGATAGTAAGACAGACAGACAGACCTGGATCCCCTCGCCCTTGGCCCCCCGGGAATCCTAAATCTACCGCAAATCACCGCATTGATGCACCTTTCGACTCAGACAGCAGCTCAGCCCGACAGGGGGCAGCCCCTGGACTGCGAGACGTGTCCCACCTCAGCCACCTGCAGCTCACGGGAGGGTCTGGGCCGCCTCGCGTGGGCAGGGGCCTCCCAGCTCCCCCTTTAAGCGCCGCTTGTCAGTTCTAAGCTTTGGCCACACGGTGCAAGACCCGACCGGGAGATCCCCGGGGTGAGCCCCGTGCGCCGCGGGACACAGACTCGCACCCAGGCCCGTGTGGACCCCGGAGGCCTTGGACAGAGCGAAGCGTCTCAGCCCGCGGGAGGCTACTCGGGTCCCGGGGGCAGGGAACAAGGTGCCACCAGGGCCATGGCGGGG